TGTGTGTGTGTGTGTGTGTGTGTGTGTGTGTGTGTGTGTGTGTGTGTTTATCATAAGATTGAGCTCCAGGTTTGATGACAGGTGCTTGACTCTTCAGGTGTTCCTGTTGGTGACCAGCAGGGGGCAGCAGAGCTCAGTGAGGACAGCAGAGCGGCTCAGGTGAGAAGGTTCGGTTCTGGTTCTGGTTCTGCTGTGAGCTGCGCGTTCTGACCAGAACCTGTTTCCAAACATTTATTGGGGCATTGAGCCCTTGGCAGCGCCTGTAAACTGCCTCTTCACAGGTTTTAATTGTTCCGTGGTCGTTAGCGAGGCCTGCTCAGCAGTAAACCCACTCAAACATCAAAGTGTAATAACTTCTGTTGACCCGTCGGGTCCAGGTCCACGTGGATAAAACCTTCACAGCAGCCTCGTAACGCTGCATACAGAATATTTCTAATGCCGTTAAAACTCTACACACTTTGAAATGTGCCCCAAACTGCAGGACAGATGTACGACTGGTTTTGGGTCAGCCAGCCCAATTCAAAATGGCTGCCACAGAACTCGCTTTACCTCAGTCATTTTCTGTAGATGTGGAGGAAATAACTTGGGCATGGTAGTGTCTTGGAGTGATCTTGAAGCTGACGGGGAACAGATCCTTCAGGCGTTTGGTTAAAACTTTACCATAAACTGCTGAGAACGCTGACTGTTAGTAAAATATCTACGACTACCACTTATTATTGTGATAACACGTCGTTACCACAGTAACCTGTTGTTTACATACCAATAATGCTAATAGGTAGAAACTCTTATAACTGTCATTAACACATTATTAACTAGTTATTAACAGGGTGTTTTTATAAATGTATTAGTTATTTACCTTTGTTAGCTTGTAATTAATGTTATTATCTGTCTAGATATTAACGTATCATTACATACTTGTTAACATACTAACATAACATGACCATGTTGTGACTCTTTTATTAACACTTAATTACTCCAAGATGTGGCAGAGGCAGGGCAGCCGAAAGTTGTGGTTCGACTCCCCCACAGGTGGAGGTGTCTAGAGCAAGACACCCAATTCCTAACTGCTCCGGGCGCCACATATCTGCCCACTGCTCCACCTGGTGGTCTCAGGTGTGGTGGTTTAAACGCAGAGACTAATTCCATCTTTGAATAGAAACAGACGGATCTTGGACTTCCTGTCCTTGGATTTGTGCTCAGTTCTCAGTGGGTCCTGACCAGGGCTTGAACAACTACATATTTTTAAAAGTCGACATAAACACGACAGTAGTTGACGTTGACGAGTTGATGACGTCATAGGAGCTCAAACATGCAAAAAAAGAAGTAATTTACTATTTACAAAACAACAACAACAAAACTTGTGGAGTGTGACTTTATGTTCATTTATCAAACTGCAAATAAGTCACAGGAAAACCAAAACTATTATTAAGATGCAAAAGTCAGTTTTATTTAATCCACTAAATAAATAAACCACCTAAATAAAAAATAAACAGGTGGATTCTCTGGTGGTGCGCACCGCTGTGATTTATTTTTTTAATTTTATTTAGTGGATGAACTAAAATAAAACTAAAACCATCATCTTCAGTGAAAAACTTCCTCATTGTTGATGAATTTCTTCCTGTTTGAAGACGTGTCCTGCTCTTCCAGCTGCTTGGAAGAATCCGTTTGTAGCCAACGGCCGGCGCTGATCATGTGACACGTGACATGTGACACAATCACTGACTGCGACTAGTCGGCGTGGAATTTAAAAACTCACAAGGTGTCCTAGAGTCACCTGGTCCTAATGGGTTATTACTAAATATTTACTGACGTGGTGTTAACGCATTATTAAAATATTATCAGCATGCCATTAACAGGTTATTAACTTATTTACAAATTATTAATGGGTCATTAACAGGTTATTAACGGTCATCATTGGGTTAACGTCATTAGCTGGTAATTAACGTGTTATTAATGTCATTAACAGGTTAACGGTCATCATTGGTCTAACGTTTATTAGCTGTAATAAACAGGTTATTAACAGGTCATTAGCAAGTTATTAACATGTTATTAAAAAGTTATTAATGGGACATTAACAACTTATTAACAATCATCATTGGGTTAACGGTCATTTGCTGGTAATTAACAGGTCATTAGCAGGTTATTAACATGTTATTAAAAATTATTA